TTCCAATCCTTGCAACAAGAAAAAGATGATCAAACCAAAATATAAACAACTCTTCCAGTCACCAGAGAAGAGAAATCAAGAAGGATACACCACCACCCCCAAAACTAGAGAGATGGGTAACTACTGAGAATCACAGTGTATCCAGTAGCATAAGGAACTGGAGCCATTAATTGACAGGAACACCGAAACGGTAATTGATACACTGCTGATGGCTGAGTGTGGATTACCTTGAGAGTTCAAAACTTGAGTGGCTCCAGTCTTCTAGAACCTCCCGTACTTTTATGAGTTTTACCTCTAGGGACCCCACCAGATTCTCATGGTGAAGGCTGAAAAAAATTCCCCCAGCCTTTTGAGGAAAGAGAAGGTAAAAAAAAAACCATTTCAAAATATGCCCTAGTTAAGGGGTGGGGAGAGTGGATGGGTGCTGTAATAATTCTGAAATAATGGCCACAGCATATTTCATATTCTATTTGCTACAAGAAAGGTCTGTCCTAAAGAGAAACTGCATCCTTAGACAACCTAGAAGAAAGGCAATGTGATGACCTAAGCCACCTCTAGCCTTCTTGCCACATAGTAAAAACACTAAGAAACAAATCTCCAGGTCTTAACCCAGCAACTCAGGAGCGGGAGATGGGATGGTTGCAGGTGGGAGGGAGGTTATGGGGGGAAAAAGCCAGTGTAATCCAAAAGCTGTACTTTGAAAATTTATATTTATTAAATAAAAGTTAAAAGAAACTGAGATTTAATCATAAGAATATACCATACTAATATTTTACCATCAGCTCAACAGGACTCCTGTGGATTACAATTGAGTGTTAAGACACAGAATCTGTTTAAGAAGTTTCTAAGGAAATCCATCTATAAAAATGGGTGGTCAAAATCAAGCACACTAGAGGATATTGAAGTATCAACAGCTAATGCCACAGCAAGCATTAGATATGGCCTAATTCTTAGCCAAAACCTTGGCCTTTGATTAGTAATGGTTTCTTAACATCACACTTCAAACTACTGCGACCAAAGCAAAAAAATAAACTAGGCTTCATCAAAACTAAAAACTTTTGTGCTTCAAAAATATCAAAAGAGTGAAGACACCCCACAGACTTCCAGTTTCCATACATAAAGAACTTGAAAGCCATCTTACCTTCACAAGAAGGAAAAAAAGCTGAACTGAAAATCAAAAACTTTCCCTCACGTGTAAAGAACTGACATCACAGGCCAAACCTCCATCCTGAAAACTGGAGAAGCAGGGAATACAGAGACAACAGACCAGCTTATTTGAAGCAGAAGTCTTTGGAGCCTCATAGGAACATTTTTAATGCAACCTTGGTGAGTTGCTGTGAAACTATTCTAGCTTAAGAACTAAAATTTGTGGAGTACCCAGTCTAATGGATGCTTCCATACCTTCACAGTTTCCTAGGTTTTACCTCTGAGTCTTACTAGGTTCTCATGGCAGTCATAGGACAAAAATACTCTCTTACTTGCCAGGGAGTGGGGAAAAGAAAACAGTTTTTAAAAAGCCAGAACATTCTCCATAACAAAGGCCTAACCAGCAAAGCAAGACTAAATTTTCCTTAGATTTATCCACTTTAGAAGAGGGGCTATATCCAACTCCAGCCCTCTTTAACCTTCCTGTCTCTAACCATTTTTTTTTTCACCTAAAAAGAGGAAATAATAGTACTTGTGATAGTCACACCCCAGGCACTGTACCTATGTTTTCAACTAAGAGCTTTATAGTTGTAGAACTAATATTTAGATGTTTCATTCATTTTGGTTATTTTTCTGTATGGTGTGAGGAAGATGACCAACTTCACTCATTTGCAAATGGATATCCAGTTGTCCCAGCACCAATTGTAGAAGAGTCTATTCTATCCCACTGAACAATGTTGACACCCTTGTGGAAAATCAGTTGACCTTAGATGTATGGCTTATTTTTGCATTCTCAATTATATTACATTGATCTACATGCTTATCCTTATTCCAGTAGTACATATTTTTTTAAAGATTTATTTTATGTATTTGAAAGACAGAGTTACAGAGAAAGGTAGAGACAGAGAGAGATATTCTAACCCCTGGTTCACTCTCCAAATGGCCACAACAGCCATAGCTGAGCCAATTTGAAGCCAGGAGCCCCTTCCAGATCTTCCACATGGATGCAGGGGCCAAAGCACATAGACCATCCTCCACTGCTTTTCCAGGCACATTAACAGGCAGCTGGAATGGATGTGAAGAAGCCAGGATTCAAACCAGAGCCCATCTGGGATGCCAGCACTATAGGCTGGGGCTTTAACCTGCTGCACCACAGTGCCGGCCCTAGTACATAATTTTTACAACAGTAGATTTTTAGTAAGATTTGAAATCAGGAAGCATGAATACTGCAACTTTATTCAAGACTATATTTGTTGTTCAGGGGCCCTTGCATTTTCATATGAATTTTAATATCAGCAAATAAATTTCTGAAAAAAAAGGAAGCTGGGATTTTAATAGTAAATGAATAGACCAATTCTGGAATACTGTCATCTCAACAGTATTGACTTCCACACAATGAATAGGTTGTATAGCCATTTATTTGGGTCATATTTCATTTCTTTCAAGAGTGTTTAAGAGTCTTACATTTCTGTTTTGAATTTTTATTCCTAAGTATTTTGGATTTTTTTAAACTTTTATTTAATGAATATAAATTTCCAAAGTACAGCTTATGGATTACAATGGCTTCCCCCCATAATGTCCCTCCCACCCGCAACCCTCCCCTTTCCCACTCCCTCTCCCCTTCCATTCACATCATGATTCATTTTCGATTCTCTTTATATACAGAAGATCAGTTTAGCATACATTAAGTAAAGATTTCAACAGTTTGCTCCCACACAGAAACATAAAGTGAAAAATACTGTTTGAGTACTAGTTATAGCATTAAATCTCAATGTACAGCACACTAAGGACAAAGATCCTACATGAGGAGTAAGTGCACAGTGACTCCTGTTGTTGACTTAACAAATTGACACTCTTGTTTATGGCACCCTAGGCTCTTGTCATGAGCTGCCAAGGCTTTGGAAGCCCCTTGAGTTCACCGACTCTGATCATATTTAGACAAGGCCATGGTCAAAGTGGAAGTTCTCTCCTCCCTTCAGAGAAAGGTACCTCCTTCTTTGATGACCCATTCTTTCCACTGGGATCTCACTCGCAGAGATCTTTCATTTAGGTTTTTTTTTTCTTTTTTCCCAGAGTGTCTTGGCTTTCCATGCCTGAAATACTCTCATGGGCATTTCAGGTGGATCCGCATGCCTTAAGGGCTGATTCTGAGGCCAGAGTGCTGTTTAGGACATCTGCCATTCTATGGGTCTGCTGTGTATCTCACTTCCCATGTTGGATCATTCTCTCCCTTTTTTATTCTATCAGCTAGTATTTGCAGACACTATTCTTGTTTATGTAATCCCTTTGGTTCTTAGTCCTATCATTACGATCAATTGTGAAAAGAAATCGATCACTGGGACTAGTGAGATGGCATTGGTACATGCAAATGCCATTATAAATGAAATTGTTTTCATAATTTCATTTTCAGATTTCTCACTGCTGGTATATAGAAATGCAGCTGAATTTTGTATATTGATATTGTATCTTTCATGAACTCTTTTCTTAGCCCTGATACATCTTCATTTTGTGTGTGTATGTGTGTGTGAATTCCTTAGCTCTTTCTACATCTAAGGTCATTCATCTACAAATGGAGACACTTTTACTTTTCCCTTTCCAGTACAGATGCATTTTCTTTCTTTCTTACTTCATTAGCCAGACTAGAACTTCCAGTACAATGTTGAATAAAAGAGGCAAGATCAGACATTCTTGTTTAATTTCTTATCTTAGTGGGAAATCTTTCAGACATTCACTATTAAGTTTAATGTTCACTATTGGTTATTCTTAGATAGCATTTAGCAGCCTAAAGAAGTTCCTTAATAGTTGAGTATTTTTACCATGAAAGGGTACTGGATTTTGTCAAATGACTTTTCTGCATCTATTGAACTGATCGGATGTTTTTTTTCTCCTTTACTTTATTAATATGGTATGCTATATTTGAATTTTTTGTATACTGAACAACCCTTGCATTTTTTAGATAAATCCCACTTGTCCTGGATGTATAATCCTTTTATATGTGGCTAGATTAGGTGTGCTAGCAGTTTTCAATGACTTTGGGAGTTGCATTCACAAGAGATATTATTCTAAACTTATAGTTTTCTGGTAATGTCTTTGGTTTAGGTATCAGGGTAATACTAAATCATCAAATAAATCAGGGTTTCCTCTTTTATTTTATGGAAGAGTTTGTGAAGGGAAAGAATTCTCTCAGATTTCTTTATCATGGAATGTCTAAATTTCTTCTTCAAATTTTTTCATTTATTTGAAAGGCAGAGAGAGAGAGAGAGAGAGAGAGAGAGAGAGAGATCCCCATCCACTGGTTCACTCCCCAGATGGCCACAACAGCCAGGGCTGGGCCAGGAGCCAGGAGCTTCAGGAGCCTCATCCAGGTCTCTCACATAGATGCAGGGGCCCAAGAACTTGGGCCAGCTTCTACTGCTTTCACTTTTCCAGGTGCATTAGCAGAGAACTGAATCAGAAGTGGAGCAGCTGGGACTCAAACTGGCACCCAAATGGGATGTCAGCATTGCAGTCAGCAATTAACCTGTTTCGCCACAATGCTGACCCATGTTCTTCAAATTTGAAGGATATTTTTGCTAGATATTGGATTCTTGGTTGTTCTCTTTGAAGACATCATTCCTCTGCCTTTTGTTCTTCATTATTTCTTATGAGAAGTAGCTGTTCATCTTATGGAGAATCCCTGTATAAGATGAATTGCTTCTTTTGCTGCTTTCAACACTTTTGTCTTTTAACAGTTTGATTGTGATGTGTCTTGGTGCAGCTCTCTTTGAGCTTACTTTACTTGAAGTTCATTGAGCTTCTGAGATACAGGGATTAGTGTCAGATTTTAGAAGTTTTCTGCCATTATTTTTTCATTCTTTTTTTTTTTTGAAGACTTATTTATTTGTTTGAAAGTCAGATTTACAAAGAGAGAGAAGAAGAGGGGAGGGAGAGGGAGAGGGAGAGAGAGAGAGAGAATATCTTCCATCCACTGGTTTATTCCACAAATGGGTGCAATGACCAGAACTGGACCAAGCCAAAGCCAGGAGCCAGAAGCTGCTTCTGGGTCTCTCATGTGGGTTCAGCGGCACAAGGACCTGAGCCATCCTCTGCTCAGGCTATTAGCAGGGAGCTGGATTGCAAGTGGAGCAACCAGGACTCAAACTGGTGCCTATATGGGATGCTGGCACTGCAGATGGTGGCTTAACCTGCTATACCACAGCTCCATCCCCTATTTCTTCATTTGTTTTGCCTCTTTCTCTCTTTCCTCTTCTCCTGGTACCACCATTATGTACATGTTGATGTGTTTGATGGTGTTCCACAAGTCTCTGAAGTTATGTTCCTTTGTTTGCTTTCTTTTATCTTTCTGTTCCTCAGCCTAAATATCAATTGACTTATTTTCAAGTAAGATAATTCTTTCTTCTGTCTACTCAAATATGATATGTATATATCAACAACATATTTTAAATGTGCTATAAGTGTATGCTATAAATATGTAAATTTTAATTTCAGGTAATGTGGGGATTTTTTATTAAAGAGCTAATCATTTATTTGAAAGGCAGTTACATAGAGAAATCTTCCAACTGCTAGTTCACTCCCCTAATGGGCACAATAGTCAGGGCTGGGCCAGGCCAAAGCCAGGAGCCTGGAAATCCATGTGAGTCCCCCGCCTGAGTGGTAGGGTCACAAATACTTGCACCATCTTCTATTACTTTCCCAAGACCTCCATTAGGGAAGCTGGATCAGAAATGGAGCAGCTGGGACTCAACAAATATTCATATGGGATGCCAACCTTACAGGTAGTGCCTTAAATGGTATACAACAACACTGACTACATTTTTGAACTGTACTTGTTTTATCTTGTTCTTTTTTTTTTTTTTTTAATAATTTCTACCCTCTATCTCTGTCGCTCTCCCTCTTCGTGGAGGAACAACACAGGACCCTGCGCTGTTCTTTTGTCTGCTCAGCCCTCCCCGGGTTTGCTGCTGGTTCTTCCCGGGTTGGCTACCGTCCCTTCCACCTCCGTGGAAGGGCGGTTCCCCCTAGCCACTTCCCCCACTTCCGCGGGGGAGCGGCACACCGCCGGCCGGCTCTCTCGGGGGCTGCACAGGTGTTCCTCTTAGATGTTCCTGGTGCATGTTGTCTCTCTCCTCCTTTATAGTCCTCTTCACCAATCCCAACTCTGCTACCCACACGCCGAGTACGCTGCTCTCCTCCAATCAGGAGCAGGTCCTGCAGCTTGTCAAGTTGGTGAGAGGCAGCTGGGTAGAAGCTGTTTCCTCCTCTCCCAGCGCCATATTGTGGGAGAGCAGATGCATAGAATAAGTCTTAATTCCAGTAACTTAGTCTAGTCCAAGTTGCTCCCAGTTGCTCCCCACAATCTCTTTCTTAATACTCAATGTATAGGGGCCAGTGCTATGGTGAAACAGGTTAAAGCCCTGGCCTGAAGTGCTGGCTGCTCCTCTTCTGATCCAGCTCTCTGCTATGGCCTGGGATAGCAGTGGAAGATGGCCCAAGTCTTTGGGCCCCTGCATCCACATGGGAGACCTGGAAGAAGCTCCTGGCTCCTGGCTTTGGATTGGCGCAGCTCTGGCCGTTGCAGCCATTTGGGGAGGGAACCAGTGGATGGAAGACCTCTCTCTGTGTCTCTACCTCTCTCTGTAACTCTGTCTTTCAAATAAATAAAATAAATCTTTTAAAAAAAGAAGTTGGCTCAAGTCCTTGGGCCCCTGCACTCATGTGGAAGACCTGGAAGAAGCTCCTGGCCCCTGGCTTCGGATTGGCACAGCCAATTGGGGAGTGAATCAGCAGATGGAAGACCTCTCTCTCTCTGCCTCTCCTTCTCTGTAACTCTGACTTTCAAATAAATAAATATTTTTAAAAATATATGTATTTAGAAAACCTTGAAACTTGACACACACCTTATAACTTAAACAGTCATTCAAAATGTCCCATATACTTATATTTAAAATGTGAACCTGCCTCTGCATCTCTGTAACTCTGCCTTTCAAATAAATAAATCTTTTAAAAAAAACACTCACTATATGAAGAGACATTGTTCTCACACTATTCTTTTTTTTAAAAAGACTTATTTATTTATTTGAGAGGCAGAGTTACAGACAAAAAGAGGGAGAGGCAGTGATATATAGAGAGAGGTCTTCCATCCATTGGTTCACTCCCTAAATGGCCGCAACGAATGGAACTGGACTGATCCAAAAGCCAGGAGCCAAGAGCTTCTTCTAGGTCTCCCACACTCACACTATTCCTTAACACTTTAGATATCCTTTCTTTTTGTTCTTTGCACTCATTTAAAATAACTGATTAAAGTCTGTCTAAGGGCCAGCATTATGGCATAGTGGGTTAAGCTACTGCCTGAAACACCAGCATCCTATATGGATGCCAGTTGAACTCCCTGCCACTCTATTTCTTATCCAGTTCCCTGCTAATGTGTCTTGGAAAGCAGAAGATGATGGCCCAGGTGCCTGAGTCCCTGCCATCTATGTGGGAGGCTGGGATAAAGCTCCTGGTTTCAACCTGAAACAGCCCTGGCCATTGTGGCTATTCGGAGAGTGAACCAGCAAATGGAAAATAGTAAGTGTGTGTGTGTGTGTGTGTGTGTGTGTGTCCCTCTCTCTATAACACTGCCTTTCAAATAAATAAATCTTTTTTGAAACTTTTTTAAAAGTTAAAACAAATTTTAAAAGTCCTTGCCTTGGCAGTTGCAGGTTGTCATCTCAAATCTCATCAAGCGCATGCAGGGTACAAATCTGCTGGTGTTTGTCATTCCCCCAGTTCATTCACAGAACCTGCAATGAGATCAACAACAAAATATTCTGTCACCATCATCAAGGGCATAGTCTAAGGTTTTAAGCAAGTGTAACTCACTTCCAGCATCATACTCAAGAAGAAGGGCATATGGGTACTGGTTCATGTTCCGACTGCTCCACTTCTTTTTCAGCTCCCTGCTAATGGCCCAGGAAAAGCAGCAGATGACCCAAGTGTTTGGGCCCCTGCCACCTATATGGGAGACTCAGATGAAGCTCTTGGCTCCTGGCTTCAGGCTTCAGTCTGGCCCAGCGCTTGCTATTGTTGTCATCTAGGGAGTGAACCAGATGATGGAATCTCTCAATCTCTCTGTCTCTCCCTCTCCACAGTAACTCTGACTTTCAAAACAAATAAATAAATCTTTTTAAAACACAAAAGGACATTGACATTAGTATGTTGATGAGTGCCAACACTGCCAGCAAAGTGGCTACAGAGTTCTGTGAAACCACTATCAGCAGCTAAGTGACAGAGAATGGCCTTTTTTTCAAAGAACTTTTGCAGACTCCAATTCTTTAATGACTGTGGTTGCTGATGCAAACACTGTTGGACTTTGTGGTACTCTTAAAAACATCATGGCCTTAGGAACTGGGTTCTGTGACTACCTCTGCTGTGGTGACAACATTAAAGCTGCCATCATCCACATGTGCCTCATGGAAATATTTGCTTTTTCCAGGATCTCTGCTAGGGTCAGGAGTCCACAGTCACTGTCCTAGAGAGCTGCCAGGTGGCTAACCTGATTGTCACCTGCTACACAGGGTGGAACCACAGGTGACCAAGGCATTTGCCAGAACTAGGAAGACCACTGAAGAATTGGAGGAGATGCTGAATGGGTAGAAGTCTCAAGGACCTCAGACTTCTGAAGTGTATCACATCCTCAAACAGAAAGAACCAGCTGACAAGTTTCCATCTGCAGTATATCAGATCTGTGAAGGCAGACTCTTCCTAGAGATGTCGTCTCCAGAGCCATCAGAGTATATCTGAAGTTAGCCATGCAACACATTGGAGAATGTTTTATCTTTCTAATCAATCTTCTGTTTTCACATGGAACTATGTGACTTGGCAACAACATGTTTGCTTGAAGGTAATCCTAGTTTGGATAGTTATATATTTTTATAGTTTAACTTTTTAATTGTGAGAGACAATTCATTGGCTAAGATGTACTGGGCAGTAACTATATACACATGTAAACATGTAATTGTGTACTGTTTCTCATTCTGTGAGACCAAAATTTTATGTCCATTTTAAAAATTGCTTTTGAAACTTTCCTACTGTGATAGTTTATAAGATTATGACTGGGGCTGGCACTGTGGCAAAGAAGGTTAAACTGGGGCCAGCATGGTGGCAGAGAAGGCTAAGCCTCCATCTGCAATGCTGTCATCCCATATAAGCACTGACTCAAGTCACGGCTATTCCATTTCTGATCCAGCTCCTGATAATGTACCAGAGAATGCAGCAGAGGATGGCCAAGTCCTTGGGCCACTGCACACACATGGGAGACCTGGATGAAGCTCATGGCTCCTGGCGTCAGCCTGGCCCAGTCCCAGCTGCTATGGCCATATGGGGAGTGAACCAACAGATGAAAGATTTCTCTATCTCTCCCTCTCTCTCTGTAACTCTGCCTTTCAAATAAATATATAAATAAATAAAATATTTTAAAAAAACATTGGGAAGGAGGACCCTTCTCTTCATCTCTCTCTCTCTCTCTCTCACTGTAACTCCACCTACTATTTCAAAAGACAGCTGTTTCATGCAGTAGGGTCTAGGTGTATTCACAGCTGAGTGGGAATTGAGATAAAGGACTCTGAGATGTGAAGGTCTATTAAGTACTAGTGTAGGTTATTGGGTGTTGGGATATCTGAGAATTTTTCATTCTGTTCAAGATCTCTGTCCTGGCATGCATTCTGCCCCTTTCCCCCTCCCAGGACCTCCACAGAATATACATTCACATTTCTATCTAAACTTGAGAGCTGGAAGGAGCAATATAATGGCTCTGGGACAGAAGACAGGTGAAAGGCAGTAAGCAAAGGATGTAGTAGATGTCTGCTTTGTTTTTATTTTGACATGCAGCCTTCACTCTCACTTCTGGAAATGTATCTCTGTTGCCTTCTTTTTTGGCTGGCGCTGCGGCTCACTAGGCTAATCCTCCGCCTTGCGGCACCGGCACACCGGGTTCTAGTCCTGGTTGGGGCGCCGGATTCTGTCCCAGTTGCCCCTCTTCCAGGCCAGCTCTCTGCTGTGGCCAGGGAGTGCAGTGGAGGATGGCCCAAGTGCTTGGGCCCTGCACTCCATGGGAGACCAGGAGAAGCTCCTGGCTCCTGCCTTCGGATCAGCGTGGTGCGCCAGCCATGGCAGCCATTGGAGGGTGAACCAATGGCAAAGGAAGACCTTTCTCTCTGTCTCTCTCTCACTGTCCACTCTGCCTGTCATAAAAAAAGGCAAGTTTTACTAATAATGGATGATCAGATAAATTCACCAAAAATATATTGATAATTCATTTGATTATAAATGAAGAAAACACACTTGAGTTATAAAATACACATACCCATTTGAGAATTTGAAAAACACAGACAAAAGAAAAAGATATATTCCTTAATTATTGAAAAAAGGAATTATGTAATTTGAATTACTGGTTCAAATATGTTTCAAATTTGAATTACTATATTTAGTGAAGAATCCTTGTACTCATTCAATATTCCAATTGTCTTTTATAGTGATCATTTCCAAAACATGGTATGCACCACCCCATTTAATTTTTTCTTCAGTTTTTTCTTCATACTACTTGTTGAATTCCTTACTTAGTGGAGAGTTAATCTTGTGAGTATAAATTAAGCTGAAAATACATCTTCGTAAAAATCAAGAGTGGGAATAGGAGAGGGTGGAGAAAGCAGTGTGGGAGCATGGGTGGGAGGGAGGGTAGAGTGGGAAGTAGCACTATATTCCTGAATCTATATATATGAAATACATGAAATTTGTATATTTTAAAAAAATTTTAAAAAAACCAAGAAAATTCTGTCTTTATCAAGATATACTAAATAGACATTGCTAAGATCTTCCGTCTTCCCTAGCAGAGCAGGATAGCTATTTTAAAACAGAATGCCAAATGATAAAAGGAAAGAGTGAAGCTATAAATATGTCACATTTCAAATAGCTAAGGAGCATCCACAGTCAGATGCTTTTTAAGCCGGGAAGATTTATCTCAGAGGCATCCTAAGTAAGACTGTCCAAAAAGACCATCTTTTCTCTCTCTCTCTCTCTCTTTTTTTTTTTTTTTTTTTTTTTTTGGACAGGCAGAGTGGACAGTGAGAGAGAGAGACAAAGAGAAAGGTCTTCCTTTGCCATTGGTTCACCCTCAAATGGCTGCCGCGGCCGGCGCGCTGCGGCCGGTGCACCGCGCTGATCCGAAGGCAGGAGCCAGGTGCTTCTCCTGGTCTCCCATGGGGTGCAGGGCCCAAGCACTTGGGCCATCCTCCACTGCACTCCCTGGCCACAGCAGAGAGCTGGCCTGGAAGAGGGGCAACAGGGACAGAATCTGGCGCCCCGACCAGGACTAGAACCCGGTGTGCCAGTGCCGCAAGGCAGAGGATTAGCCTATTGAGCCGCAGCGCCGGCCAGAGACTATCTTTTCTCAAGATCTCATTGCTCAGAAAAGGTAGAGTTCAAGTTCAATTGCAAACATGTTTTGGTCTGAATTTACCAAGAATTTTTTTTTTTTACTTTTTTTTTCTATAGATTTATTTGTTTGAAAGAGTTACACAGAGAAAGGAGAGGCAGAGGGCGGGGAGGGAAAGGGAGAGGGAGAGAGAGGTCTTCCATCCGCTGGTTTGCAGAGCTGGGCCAATCTGAAGCCAAGACCCAGGAGCTTCCTCCGGGTCTCCCACGTGGGTCCAGGGGTCCAAGGACTTGGGCCATCTTCCACAGCCTTTCCAGACCATAGCAGAAAGCTGGATCGGAAGTGGAGCAGCCAGGACTGGAACCGGCGCCCACATGGGCTGCGGGCACTGCAGGCAGGGGCTTTACCCGCTGTGCCACAGCACCCGTCCCTTTCCATCTAAAGCATTCCTGAACTCTAACTTTTATTTCCTTAAAGGCAGAGCTACAAGGAGAGGATGACGGGTGACAGAGAAAGATCTTCTAAACGCTGTTCACTCCCCAGAGGCTGACACCAGGAGCCTGGAACTCGATCCGGGTCTCCCCCATGGATGGCAGGGCCACATGGTTGGGCCGTCTGCCACCACCTTCCCAGGCCCACCAGCAGGGAGCTGGATCGGAAGTGGAGCAGCGGGGACCTGAACTGGTTGCCATGAGGGTTGCTGGCGTGTAGCAAGGCTGCCAGAGACCAGGGCATCACCGGCCCGCAGGCCCGGACACCTGGGACAGGGTAGGGGTGGGGCCAGCAGCAGGAGCTCACGGTGGTGCTGAGTGGACGGCCGGGGCTGCTGGACCTAGCCTGGCCAGCGGGCTCAGGTAGGCACAGAGCAGCTGGGGGCAGGGGGTGGGCAAGGTGCAGGGAGCCCAGCCTCTGTGGGGGGACCGTGGGAGGGCACTGCATTTTTAAAAGGAAGATTTACTTGGGGACAGGCTTAAGCCACAGCCCACATGGAGTTCCGAATGATGGCCTGGAACGCAGTGGAAGACCGCCCAAGTGCCAGGGCCCGCGCCCACCTGGGAGCCCCCATGGAGTTCCTGGCTTCAGCGCAGCCCAGCCCTGGGGGTTACAGTCCCCTGGGGAGTGAAGCCGCGTGCAGACGACCTCTCTCTTTCTCTGCCCAGATCACCTGCTGGCTCACCCCAGGTGCCCGCAGTGGCCTGGCAGGCACAGGGCAAGGCCAGAAGCTCCAGCCTGGTCTCCCACAGGGGGGCGGGGCCCGAGCACTGAGGCGCTTTAGCAAGGAGCTGAGATGTGGGGCCTGCATGCTGACCAGCTGCTGGGACGGTGTTTCCACAATTCTCCGCGGCAGGCAGGCCGGGCACGGGCGGGGCAGGGCTAGGGGTGACATCCCGCCCGGGGGCCTGGCCGTGGCTGGGGGCTCCGCTTTACTCAGCTGCCCTCCCGCCCATGCGACCGCCACGCAGCCACCTTGGAGTCAGAGCACAGCCCCCTGGGGGGAGACCAGGGCACAGCCCCCAGCACCCGCCGGGCTGCTCTGGCCGTCGGGGGGCGCCCCAGCTGTCGGGGGCCCTGTCTCTAACCCAGCCCGAGACACCCGGGGCACCAGGCGGGTCGCCCAGCACGGGCACAGAGCCCAGGACAGGGGCCCGAGGGAAGCGACAGGGGTCTGGAAGTGTCTCGGAGGCGGAGGCGCAGGTCACAGCCAGAGGAGCCAGGCTGTGGGAGCCCGCGCCCCGCCCGCCCACCCGCGCAGGGCCCAGATGAAGTCCCCGGGAGGGCCCATGGCCCCCTTCCCCGGCACCAGGCCCTATGGGGCCCGGCAGCCACCACCTACCTGTCCGCCAGCTGCTGGGCGCCAGGCCCACGCCGCCGCCACTCGCTCCGCGCCGAGGACTCGGGTCAGACGCCGCGGCTGCCAAGCTCCTGAATTTACCAAGAATATTGATCCACTCGTTCATGTTTCATACAAACTTATGACATTTTAAATGTAATCCTTCCTCTCCACATATAGATTAAACGGCAAATTAGAAACGATTTTACCTGATCTTCACTAAGTAACACTCCCCACTGTCTGCTGATCCTTCTCATGAGATCCCCTCCATCACAATATTCCATGACAATAAACAGCCGACATTTTTCTGTAAGAAAAGGCATCATTTGGCGCTGGAGGGGTTCAGATATTTAACAACCATTTGCTTGCTAAGTTCCAAAAAGTTCCAAAAGGTGGAGAATGTAACAGAAAATAATACTGTATACAATAGATCACAACTCTGGCTGTGGAGTCAAAACAGACTGGGTTCTACGCCCACTTAACCACCGAATGTTTCTTAGCTCTGTAACTCTGGGCAAGTCACTTTCTTTGTGTCTCAGTACCTCATCTGTAAAATGCAAATAATTCAGAAACATCCTACTAGGATGGCTGGAAAGATCAAATGAGTTCATCCATGTCAGATGCATAGAATATTGCCTACACATGAGAATGTGGTGAGAGCTATTATGATTAATACATTACTATAAGGATTAGAAATCTGCTGGAAAAGTAGCAGCTGTGAATCTCTCCCAGTACCCCAAGATTAAGAGCCCCTTCTTATGTTGGGGTATGAACATGTGTATTTATTCAAACATGTTGTTGAGTACAATAGCAACTGTTCTTTCTGGTGGACTTCTCCTAACCTACTCAGTAGATTCCTGGACGCTCTCCTATAGTGTTGCCCGCTCAAGGTCATCACTAGTGGCTTCTGGGCTCTCCATTTTTCTACACATTTCTGTTCCCACCAATCACACTGATGCTTACCGAGACCCTTGTGTTTTCCCCAAATCTTCTTATGCCACTTATGTTTGTCATTGTAACTATTATATAGACTGATATAGTAGGAATAGAAAAAGAAAGAGGATTATATCTGTAGAAGACCACATTGAATGTTTTGGAGGACTCAGAAAAATTGACTAAAGAAAAAAATTTCATTTACCTAAATGTTGGATGAGACAAGTAAAATATAGTTAGAAAAGCTCTAAGAGGATTGTGAATACAGATTATTCAGAAATTCTTATTCTACACTAAAGAAAGGAAACAAAATTCTAAATAAGAGGCAGAGCTTGCGGGTGGGAGGGACGTTTGTGGGGGGGAAGCCATTGTAATCCATAAGCTGTACTTTGGAAATTTATATTCATTAAATAAAAGTTTAAAAATAAATAAATAAAATAAAATAAAATACAAAAAAAATAAGAGGCAGAGCTTACATAAGAAAGAATATTCAGAACTCTAGTCCATGAACTCAATGCCTTGGTCCTGCATCAAAAGTTTGATAATATGTTGTGTTTTTATCTGTTAAATTTGTTTGCATGTATGGGGACAGGAGTTCTGGCATAGCAGATTAAGTCATTGCTTGTGACATGAGCATCTCATTGGGGTGCCCCGTTACATCCTGACTATTCTGCTTCCAAACAGCTTCCTGTAATACACCAGGGATGCAGCAGATAGTGGCACATGTACTTGAGATCTCTGCCATCCACCGGGGAGACCAGGGAGATTCAGATGTGGTCCTGGCTCTTGGCTTCAACCAGGGGCAGCTCTGTGTGTTATGGGCATTTGGGGAATGAACCAGTGGATAAAAGATCTCTCTGTGTCTGTCTCTGTGCATCTCTCTTTGTGTCACTCTTTCAAATATGTAAAAAAATTTTTAAAAATTTAAACACTCATATTATTCCTATGGGTGTCCCAGGCAGCTGCTTAATTGCTGTGCCAAATGCCTGCCCCCCTCATCTCCCTTCTTAAGGAGTAATCCATTTATTCAACAACACACTTTTATCAAGGACATGTGATCAGTAAGAAATGCTGTTAGGGATATGGAGCAAATAAGCTGTCCTCCTGCTCTGTCTAGTTGGGGAGTCATTCCACATTGTGTGACCAGTGCTGGATTGGATGTCTGTGGGCTTGAGGGTGTAGAGAGCAGAAAGTGACAGGGGGCCGGTGTTGTGGTTCAGTGGGTTAAGCTGCTGCCAGTGATGCATGCACTCATATGGGTGCTGGTTTGTTCTGGCTGCTCCATTTCCAACCTTTGCTCCACATTAATGTGCCTGGGAAAGCAATGGAAGATGGCCCAAGTGCTTGGGTACCTGCTACCCACATGGGAGACCCAGAAGATGCTCCTGGTTTGGGCCTGGCCCAACCCTGACCATTGTGGCAATTTGGGTAACAAAACAGCAGATGGAAGATCACTCTCTGTCTCCCCCTCTCTCTGTAACTCTGCCTTTCAAATAAATAGGTGAAAGAAAGAGAGAGAGGGGGAGAGAGAGAGAGAGGGAGGGAGGGAGGGAGGGAGGGAAGGAGGAAAGAAGGAAGGAAGGAAGGAAGGAAGGAAGGAAGGAAGGAAGGAAGGAAGGAAGGGTGAGTGATAAGTCTGACTGGAGATCTAAGAAGGCTCCTAAGAAGATGCTCCCCAATATATACCCTCACATCTGGAGATCAGTTATCCTCAGCACCATACTACTTGATTTTTGTTGTAACTCAGTCATTGAAAGAACTACGAAGGCAAGGAAGGGATGGCAACTTCAAAATGAGAGGGGAATCAGAATAAGGAAACTGAGGGGTCCACTTCATTTCCTTTCCACTAACCTCCATTGGACTCAGCCTTACACTACACTGGCTTTTGGTGAAAGAAACGGACAGGTTCAGGATTATCATGGTTGAACCATCTCAGACTATTCAGGCAAATGAGCATTAATTGGCTCTAATATAAGCATATCCTTTTTCCCCATTAATCAGTGTTATCAGTGTTAATTGCCTTTTTTGTTGTTTAATATTTATTTGAAAGAGTGACAGGGAAATAAAGAGTTTCTAGACTTATAAAGCTCATGGATCATAGACCTTGCAAAAACAATTAAGGGGCAATAATATTAGGGTTGTGGGGTTGGGGCTGTGGCATAGCAGGTAAAGCGGCTGCCTGCAGTGCTGCCATCCTATATGGGTGCCAGTTCAAGTCCATTTCCAATCCAGCTCTCTGCTGTGGCCTGGGAAAGCAGTAGAAGATGGCCCAAGTCCTTGGGTCCCTGCACCTGTGTGGGAGACCCAGAAGAATCTCCTGGCTCCTGGCTTCAGATCAGCACAGCAACAGCAGCCATTTGGGCAGTGAACTAGCAAATAGAAGACTTCTCTCCCTTTCTGCCTCTGCCTCTCTGTAACTCTGCCTTTCAAATAAATCTTTAAAAAATATATTAGGGCTGCAATCTTTATTAGCCAAGTCCCAACATACATTAACTGTTGCTATAATTATCAACTCTAAAACACACTCTTGAAAAATCAAGTTTGTGTCTTACAGACGTTAGAATCTTCTTATCAATTGCTGTAGGGCCAGCAGTCTTAATGTTTTCACTGTGTGCATAATTTTTAAAAACTTCCTAAAAATTTTAAAAAAATATTTGAGAGACAAAGACAGACAAAGGAAGAAAGATTCCATCCCTTGGTTCACTCCTTAAATACCCACAGAAGTCAGGAGCTGGACACTCAGTCCAGATCTCCTGCATAGCCTTCTGCTCTCCAGGACAGGCACTGGCAAGAAGTTGGAGTAGGGAACTGGAGGTGGGTATTGAATCCAGGCGCTCTGATATCTGCTGTGGGTGCCTGAGCCAACATGTTAACTGCTAGGCCAAATGCTTGCTCCTGCATAATTTTTAGAATACATTAAAAAATACATTAGCCAATTTTATTCACTTACATTTTCTTGTTTCTATATGCACAATAGTAATATGAAACTATGTTTAAGTAAATCTAAAAAGAGGTCTGTCTATGCATATAAAAATCATAAATGAGGAGAAAGCACTGTGTCAGCATCTGTAAGAATTTTTTCTTTTGCATTAGCATGCAATGATGCCTATTTCAATCGTTTGATGAAATATCATCTACTATCACTATCATTCCACAAAATAAAGGCATTTTAATACCAAAAATCTGGGAAGTACATACTATCAGAATAAAGAATAAAAAACAAATCTCCTATTTTCTTCTTGATCATTATGCTCTACTCACAATGACATCAGGGAAGGTTCTATGAAGAATCTGAGATTCTACCCTACTAACTGGCTGCTTTCTACTTCACAAATGCTGGCAGAAGTCATGAGACTCCCAGGTAAGAAACAAAGGATGTTATTGTGTCTGGCAAAAGCAGTAGCCAGAGCTTCATATTAACACTGGTTCTCTATGTCACTGAAATCCCACAGAACCAACACAGGTGGGTCTGGATGGACACTGGTACATGGGGGTGGGCTTCATCACACTGAGGGCAGGGAAGCTACTGCTTTCACAGCGAGAAGGAAGCAAGGCTGCTGTCTTCAGGGAGATGTCACCTCATCTTTAAAAGTTGCTCTCAGCAAACACAGTCCTGAGAAACAGCCCAGGTAGACAGTGGACAGGACCTTGCATTCTTGGGATACCCAGCAGTGGATGCTGAAGGCCCCCGGTGAGCTGTTCTCCCAACAGCTCTGGCTGGTCCTTTAGCACATCAGGCCTGCTCTTGCCTCATGCCTTTGCAGTGTTCATTCCCTTAGCCTAGAAGGTTCTTCCTGAGACATCAGCAGGACTCTTTCCTTACCTCCTCCAAATCTTTGCTCCAATGTCACCTTCATAAGTCCTTCCAGACCACTCTATTTAAAACTGCACCCTCCCACCCCCCATCTCATTCCATTCTATTTTCTGACAGCACTTGTCACCTTGCTATATAAAGTAAGCTCATGAATTACATTTACATTTGTCCTCTGTCTCTCCCTACTCCCTAGCTCCAAGAAGGTTAAGTCCTATAGTTGCATTAGGATGTATGATGGCCCTGGTGAACAAACCACAGATGACTCTAACCCCTGAGTGAGGGTGGAACCACTCTTCCCGGGACTGTTATGTCACATTACAAGGGGACTTTGCTGATGTAAAGGCACTGATCAGCTGACTCAGGGTCAATGGAAAGGCAGATTACCCAGGTGGAAGTGACCTAACTACATGATCCATTTTAATCTGTATCTAGAGGTCAGAAACAAAGGAAGAGAAGGATCTCCACACTCTGTTAAGGAGGCCAAATGGCAAGGTACAGAGGCCCACTTCTTGAAGCCGACAGCAGAGGCCCCGTTAACAGGTTAGCTGCCAGCTGCTGAA